AAAAATAAAACCACTGGGCGCCTGGGTGGCTCAGTTGGTTAAGCGACTGCCTTCGGCTCAGGTCATGATCCTGGAGTCCCGGGATCGAGTCCCGCATTGGGCTCCCTGCTCAGCAGGGGGTCTGCTTCTCCCTCTGACCCTCCCCCCTCTCATGTTCTCTCTATCTCAGTCTCTCTCTCAAATTAATAAATAAAATCTTAAAAAAATAAATAAATAAAAATAAAACCACTTTTTGATCCATAGCATTATTTTTTCATTATGCAAATCATCAATCAATGAATACTATAATCATGTGAGACCCAAGACATTTTTTAGTGCTAAAAAAAAAAAGCATTACACTAAAAATGTGGGAAATGTTATAATATTGTACTATAAGCTTACCTTTTAAAATTGACTGCTTTGGTGGCATTTGGTAAAATAAAAGTGTTATAGCATGGCAAATTAATAAGGTACCTTTCACATAAAATGGAATACTTTTGATCTTTATTTAACTATTCCTACACATAAAGTGTATTTGAGTACAATATAGCCCATGAAGTAGACAAATATAGCTATGCTTTGTTTTTCAAAAATATAAAGTTTACTAAAGTCAAAATGCTTTAGGATAGAAGATCATTTTATGATAATAAAAAATAGTGTTTTCATATTTGACTTACTTGAGAGAATCCAAAGCTATCTGATCAATATTAGTGATCCGAAGTATAAGTAATGTGTTTTCTTTTATGCTTTCTGGAAGTCTGGGATGATCAGAACTCAAAAATGTCAAGTTTGCACCCTAAAGAAATTAACAGATGAATTCTTTAAAGCTAGAAAGTATATAAGAAGTAAAATACAATGAACACTAATTTTAAATATTCAATTTAAATTTAAATATTCAATTCTCATTACGTTTGACACGGTATACTTTTATACTGATAAAAAAAAAGTATATTCAGAGAATATTTAGAAACCACACAGGCTTCAGCTAATAATATTGGAAAATAAAGGAAATAATTTCCCAATCAATCTCTCAATTAGAACAATCTTAGATTTAACAATTGATGTGAAAAAATAAGAACTCCAATTTTTTAGGAGTCAGAGGAAGAAAGGACAAGTAATTTTAATTGAAATTATGACATCCTTAAATCCAGAAACAGACCTATTGATTTACAGAAAGATGTACTGCAAATTGATGACCTAATAGATTCATCACCCTCTTTCACCTGGTCTTTCGACAACAAACATCACATAAATGTAAAACGAACTGTAACCTAATTGGAGCAGCAAGGCTTTGGTGAAAACATTCCTATCAAAAATCCCTAGAGTTGCTCAAATAAGTATGGCCAAATATGAACAAACACAAATTTAAAATAAGGGGCTTAATTATCTCTCTTGAAAATAAGGGGAGAGATTTCTTTCCTCTCTTTTTTCCTGGAGCATTTAGTTAAAAAACGTAAGTACAGTACTCTCTCCATTCTTTAAAATGTCTATCAATTCTCTTGAAATGACTATATGAAGCAATTAAAGAGACTATGTGATAGGTGTAGCAGTGTAATGCATATGAGCCTACGTATGTATACAGCTCTGTGTGCATAAGGTCTATCTATGAGTTCTGAGTCATGCATCCAAAGCAATAGATGCATGCTTGTGAGTGAACGTGTGGGTGCACTTTTATGCATGCATGTCTGTGGGCACATGCGCACGTTTACAGGACTATTATCTGAACAGCTGACCTAAAAGTCCTTTTAGGGAGTGTCTGGGAAACACCTTCGTGGGGCATACAGAAGTGAAAAGGTAAGTTCCAGAGTAACACCTGGAAGGCAGACAAGACCCGCCCCCACCTCCACAAAAAAGAAAAATAAGCCGAGTATTTCTGCATAAAGAAATGAAAGATTGTGGGAAGAGCAAGAGATGGTAGGAGTCAGAAAACGGAGAGGAGGACCTATACCATGGCAAATATAGAACAGGATAGTAAGAATAAATCATAAAATATACTAAATTTTTGGAGCAGCAGTTCAGACCTAGAGGTAACTTGAATGTTGGGATAGACATTAAACATTCTGTATACAGGTATGTGAAATGGGATTTGGAGCTGATTTTCTCTAGCTCTCGAGAGGCAGGCTAGAGTGACTAGTCTAGTGTATTTAATCCAAGGCTAAGATGTAAAGTTCTTCTTCATCCCCAACTCCTCACATAACCAGTCATGATATCCTATTGATTCTGCCTCCTGAAGACTTTAAAATTTTCTTCTAATTAGCTTCATAGCCACAGCCACTTGCCTAATTTAGGTTGCTATAACCTCCTTCCTAATTAATAGAATTCAATCCAATCTGGTTCTTTCTCCTAGTCTTTGATCCATTCCCCATATTGTAACAAGAGAGATCTTTCTTTCTAAATCACAAACCTGATAATGTCAGCTCCCCTCATTCCATCCCCCTCTCATCTTTCAATGATTCCCCAATACATTCTAGGTAACTCTTTAATATAAGGCTACCCTTAATAAGCTCTGACTCATCTCTTGCCAACTCCCACCTTGAACTAAATTTCAGCCAGACTGAACGACTTCCAGTTCTCCAAATAAGCCATGCTCTTTAATGCTTGTTCTTTGCGTAAGCCGTCTCCTCCTCCTAGAAGCCTTTTCCTATCCTCTCCTGTCTATCTATCCCAGCCTTTTCTAGATCCATATTAGACGGCACTGTCTCCAGGAAGCCTTCTTTGACCCAACAAAACTGAATCATTGCCCCTCTGATGTGGCCCTCCTATTTGACTGTATTTCCCATCAGACTGTAAGCTCCATGCAAATAGGGAATTGATTTAACTTATTCACTGTTCTATCTCCAAATGCTTAGCCTATGAGTAGATATTTGTTATGTGGATGGTCAATGTGGACAGTGCTAAATTTTACTCATGAGATAATGTGAACATAATAATTTAAAATTTAAGAGCGCTATACAAAATTGTAGTATTACCTATGATCGACCCATTCTAGGGAATCTTTGTTATACGCCATAAGTCAGGAGGTGTGTGAGGTGGGGAAATCACAAGGCGGAGAAGCTAAATATCAGATATGTGATAGCTCCAAAGGCCAAGTATCCCTTCATATAGAGAAGAACATGCATCTACAGGAGATAGGCCTGCATGACGTGGACCATTACTCCTGGGACTATTGAAGTAGCCACTTACCCAGTGGTACAGCCTTGGAGGGTCTTCAAAAGTACCAAGAGACAAGCTCTCCCAAACTTATATTGCAGATTTGTGAGGGAGGGATAGAGTGTTACAAGGAATAAATGCTATATGCTTACTTTCAGACCACTGGGATCTGGACCTGAGAGGCAGAACCTCCCGGGGAAAGATCAACCATTAGCCCCTGCTCGATAAGGAGTAGAGATAATAAATTGAAAACTAGAAACCCTGTTCCTTCTACCCCCACACCATCCCACAAAATTCAGCATCTGGCATTAAAACATTCGCATACATATACACTTCACTTACAACATAAAAATCACCAAGTTGGTAGTGTTTTCCTTTTCTTCGTCCACACTGATGACTATAAATGTTTTTTTGAATAAAAGGAAGCACATTTGTTCTAGAAGTTAAATGACAAAAATGTGAGGTTATTCAGCTTCTCTCAGAAGTAATCATCTTGAGAGTTGTAACAATTTTTATGGCATACCTGTTTTTCCCAAATTGCCGATATTCATAAATTGTTAGGGACTGGTCATGAGCAAAAAAGAACCCAACCAGCTCTCTGCAAGCATCACGTCCATTTCTAGAAAAACAGAATGATATTAAAGATTTTCAAATAGGGTAATTTTCAAATTAAGTAATAAACCAGAATTGTGTATGTCAAAGAACAGCATTACTCGAATGTGCAGCAATGAGCGAGGGTTATGGGAAGCTATGGGGAAACATGGCATGGCTTGCTGAAGTGTCAATTTAAGTAAGATTTGGATGGAGAAAAAAGCTTTATCTTACACTGATAGGATATAGATATATTACAATGTAGATTACTATTTTGACATAGACTTTTAAGATAAAGTGAAAGACCTTAAAAAATGTTGACCTTGCAAGAAGCCACTCAAGGATAGACACTTATCTTTGTGATGGAAAGTTTAAAATCACTGAACAAACTTGATAATTTTTAAAAACACACTTCACCTTTAATATACACAAAGAACATCAGCATTGTGTATGACTGGAAGTTTCTAAGACAGAGGTAACAGATTTGAGAATCATCTTCCTTCTCACTGTCCTGCATCTATCAATAATCTACTATTAAGTTAAGCCATTAAAAGAAAATCAAAGACAGCAGCTTACATAAAGTTTAATTTTTAAATGCTTTACCATCTTCTAGTAATATTATGTATCTTTAAAAAATTCCCTTCTAAGTTTCTTTTTGAAAGCCATTTTAAAATCATTTTTTAAGTAACTTCTAATTAAAATGTCTTATTTTTGGTTCATAGTTTCTATAATTTTTGTAACATTAATATTACCTAAAAATATTCATTCTAAATTCACATTTTACATTTAAATGTGACAAATTTAATCTCATTATTGTTATTTCTATTTGAAGAGAATATTGTTTTATAATCATAGGAGTAAAGTTTAATAAAATCACAATTACCTTGATATGATCCTACCATCAAATTGTACTTTATGAGAAAGCATATTTTCAGTTAATGTAGAATGGGTTCTTATCCTGTTAAGAAATACATTTGTCAATAATTAGTTTCAAGTTTCCTATACTTGATGTTGATGTAAAAGATAAAGTACAAAAACGGTTATGTTGATATGTTGAAATGCACAGAATGAAGATGAAGTTATAAACCTCTTTTTTTCTGAGAGTGCTAGCTAACTGAAGCAGACTCAGGAAATAATCCTGGATACAGTGTATAATACACACACACATACATTCTGTGTTAGAAGGTATAGTATCAAAGTGCTACACAAATAAATAGCACACTTGTAACTGGTCCTATCACAGTGCTACTGGCAGCCATTTCTAACCCTGTTCTCCTTTGCCTCCCTCCAATCATCTAATTTGCTTTTCTGGCCTCTTTCCATTAGAGGTGACTAAGGGACAAAGTTCTGCCAATAATCTTCGAGGAAAGACTTTCTTTTGTCCTGATAGGAGAGTGGCATGGGAACAGTTCCTGTCTCTGAACATGGCAGGGATGTGATGCTAGGAGCCCCAGCAGCCATCAGGCAACCATGTCAGAAAGGCCAACAAGATCTTGAGGAAGCCAGCCCAGAGCTGTGTCATCCCTGAACCATTGAACTAAAACCAACACTACCTCCAGGCAGCTGGTTTTGTAGGAAAATAAATCCTGACTTTTTAAAGTCACTATCAGTCAAATTTTCAGTCACGGGTAGCTGAAAACATACCTTACCAAAATAACAGAATGGTGGAAAAAGTGCTAGATGAGGTTCCAGCCTTGAATAAGTCTAGCTATAAGACCTCTGATCAGCTGAGTAATCTTTATGGCCTTCAGATGGCACTAAATGATCTCACAAAGATTGCTAGTCCTAGAATTCTGTTTAATAATATGAAACAAAACCCAAATGTCCACACTTTAGCATCCTATTACTAGTAAACTCCTTTATAATAAAAAATCTGAAGATTTGGTGATGTATCTTTAGTCTCCTTCCTAAATAATTTTATGGCACTCCAATAAAGCTGCAGGTATAATGAAACTGCAATAATGTAAATAGAAAGGGTATGGGTCATTGGGATCTTGAAAAGCAATACCTCTATAAAATCAAGGTCTTTGAAAAATAAGCAGGATACAGACAAGAGCCTATGGGCCAAAGGAGTTTGTGAACACAGAGTGGAGCCATGATAGATTGGTCTTCTCAATTCAATTTAATCCATTAGTATTAATGTGTTTATTGAATGCTCACTACATGCCTGAAAAAACTCTAAATGCCAAGAAAATAACAGCAATAATAACAGCTACTATTTATTGAGAACTCCCCAGACACCAGCCATTATTAAAATCACTTAAATGCACGTTGGTTCATTCATTGCTTGCAGTATAATTCCATGAAGTACTATTATCACATCTTACATATAAACTTTACAGAGTCATATAATTAGTGCATGACAGAGCCCAACCTTGCTCATAACCATTACGTTATATTGCTTCTCAAAGGTGAATAGAACTCAATTTAACAGTGATATGTTGAAGTAATAGCTTCAAGGAGTCTACAGTCTCCTTGAAAAGATAAAAGAAGTAAATAAGACATTTATATTACAAGTGGAAAGTTCTGTGTTAGCGTTTTAGGTATCCAGTAAGTAGTACCAAACACTTCTCTCTACCCAAGTTCTTAACAATACAGGAATAAGAATCGGGCAGGTAAGGACCAAAATACGAATTTTACTGCTCGTGGTGGGAATGCTAATTACAGCAACCCCTTTGAAAAACTATGTGGCAGTATTTTTTAAAGCTGAACATATGTGCACTAAATGGTCCAGCGATTCCACTTCTAAGTATGTATTAAGCAGAAATGAGTACATACGTTCACCAAAAAACATGTACCAAAGTTCATGGAAGCACCATTCTTAAAAGGCCAAATGTCCATCAACAGCTATGAATAAACTGTGGTATATTTAAATACCATGAAATACTGTATGGAAATGAGAATAAAAGACAATGACAAATAACAACACGGATAAACTCACAAACACGTTGAGTAAAAAGAAGCCAGATACCTAGAGTTCAAATTTTGTGATTTCAGTAAGTTTACAACAAGGCAGTTAGCATCCATGCTATCAGGGCAGAGACGTTAAGCTGGGGCAGCAGAGGACGTGGGCAGTAACTGGGAGGCAGCACAGGCAAGTTGCTGAGGCACTAAGAACGCTCTAGTTCTGGGTCTAGGGACTTGGTACATGAGCATTGTCCAGTCTGTGGAAATTCCTATGCTGTACACTTAAAATGTGTACATTTTGTGCACAGATATTTTATTTCAGTAAAAGCTTACTTTAAAAAAGAGAAGTTTAGATGTGTTAGCTAAAGGATGACCCTCCAGAGTTGTTCACACTCTATACCTCAGAACATGTAAATATGTTACAATTACATGATACGATAAAAGGGACTTTGCATATATGATTCAAGACCTTGAGATGAGATTATCTGGAATTATCCAGCTGGATTCAATGCAATCACAAGTGTCTTTGTAAGAAGAAAGCAGAGGGATATGTTGACTACAGAAGAAGAGTATCAGAGGGGTGCCTGGGTGGCTCAGTCGGTTAAGCGTCTGGCTTTGGCTCAGGTCACGATCCCAGGGTCAGAGTGATAAAATGCTGACCGTAGCTGGTTTTGAACATGGAGGAAGGCCAGAGTCAAGGAATAAAGAAAGCCTCTAAAAGCTGAAAGAGACAGGGAAATGTATTCTCCCCTGAAGCCTCCACAAGAAATGCATCCCTGCCAACACCTTGATTTTAGGTTTCTGACCTGCAAAACTGTAAGAAAATAAATTTGTGTTGTTTAAAGTATTGTTTGTAGTAATTTGTTACAGCAACCATAGGAAGTTGATACATGATTCCTTTGAATATTTAAAGGTATGGAAATAGACTCTTCAAGAAAATAAGAATGAGACCAAAAAAATAACAGTTCTAAGAACTTCTTGGCATTTATAGCAGTCTGAAAATATGAGAGAACTGCTGCACGAACTGGTGGATTTTCTTTGTCTCTTAATGCTGAGGCTAGCTGTCAACTGCCAGTGAAGTAGTTGAGAAATTTAAGTCGACTGCACCCAAAAACTGTGAAAGTCCAAAGATTTTATAAGCTACAAAGTAAAAGGCAAAATAATAATAATAATAATAACTTGTAAGCAATAATAATTTTGAATATATTATGATATTCAGTATATATAAATGTCTCAGTTGCTATATTCTGTATTTTCACATACATTATCTCCCAGGTTATAACTCTTATTCCTAAATTATAAATAAAAAACCTGGAGGGCAAAGTTTATCCCTATATCTTAAAGTGGCACAAGTGGGAACCGAACTCCAAAAACTCCACTCCCCTTTATATAGAAAAAAGCAAAACTGAGCCAAAAAAAATCTTTTCAGTTAGACACAAAAGTACATCTTCTTTAATTCATTTATAAAATACTATATCTTCATTTGATATAAGTACAATTTTCTTACTTAGTTTCATGTAGTGTTCTTTTCCTAAATCGAAGAGGTGCTATCTTTGAATCTGGAAAGATACGAGCACTTTCTTGTCCCTCAGCGGTTAGGTTTTGTTCTGGATCACTGATTACAGCCCTATATGGGAAAATACAAAGTCTGACAACTCAATATGATAATGCACTATTCTAGCATTCACATATTTATAAGCAGCTAGAAAAGCTCATCTACAAATACAAATTTAAACTACTGTCAGAATTATACATTTTCTAGATACTGAATGAATAAATTTAATAATTAAAAAATTCTGGCCATAAAAAAGTGAATATTCCTATCAATCTCTCTTTCTATAAGTGTTATCTAAATATAAATTGAAAATTTTGAGACAACTCAGCTCCATGTCTCTCCCTTATTATTCTTTAAACAAAGAGACACTGCTGGTGACTTCTGAATAAAGACATGAAGCAAAGTAAGTAAGAAACCATATGGATTTCTAGGGGAAAATCATTCCAAGCAGTGGGGAAAATAAATGCAAAACACCTAACACAGGAGTGAACCTGGTATGTTTCACAACAGGAAGGAAGCTGAATGGCTGGAGCAGAATAGACAAGAGAGAGAGAAGTAGGAAAAGCAGTCCAAGTTCAAATGGTGGACAGATGATGTAGGGCTTGGGTAAACTATATTATAGACCATAATTTTTTTAGCACTCCTGATCCACATCCTTGCCATGGCCTCATTATAGGTGCACTGTACTAATTTCTCACCCTTTAGTTTTGAGCTTAGCCGTTTGACTTGCTTTGGCCAATTATATATAGCTGGATGCCTCTGCTGATCTCAATTAAACTAACTCATGTAAGTGTGGGTTGGCTGGGGATCTGCTCATCTAGCATTATCTTGGCTAAGTGGCCCAGCTGCATTTGCAGAGTCATGTTCTTCTTGAGCTCAGTGGGTTAGCCAAGCTGTGTTCTTTTCACCAATATGGCAAAAGCTCAAAAAGGCAAGTGGAAACACATAAGGCTTCTTAAGGCCTAAGCTCAGAACTGAGACCACTGCTTTTGTTCATATATAACTGGCCAAAGTAAGTAAAAAGCAAGAGCCACTTAGCCAAGCCTAGCGTGGACAGCTGATCTGAAGATACATGAGTTCTAATTAATCACTGTAGTTTTAAGATACTGGTTTTGTGGTAATATATAACCAATACATAGATTTTACTCTGACTGAGATGGGAAATTACTGGAGGGTTTGATCTGGCTTACTTTTTAATAGACGTACGCTGGCTGCTGGGTTAAGAATAGACCAACGAGGGGCAAATGCAAACACAATGAGTCCAGTTAGAAAGAGACTGAAATGATCCAGGAAAAAGAAGATGATATTATGAACAGGGATGATGGCAGCAGAAGGAGTATATTTATTTTGATTGTAGAACTGAGAGTGATTGCTGACAAACTGAATATAGGATTTGAGAAAAAGAGAGGCATCAAAAGCATCAGAAACATTTTAGGTCTAAATAACCTAAAGAATGGAGGTGCCTTGGAGGAAAATTAAAGAGGATTTGGTCATGGGGAAGGAGCGAAAAGAACTTCGAGGAACCCAGATTGGCAAATGTTACGTTGGAACCTTAGATCAGAGAAGCATCAGCATATGAATGCTTTTTAAAGGCATGATGCTGGATGAGATCAGTTAGGAAGTCAGTGTAGAAAAAGTCTAAGAATGGAGCCCAGTGTACTCCCACGTATAAGGACAGGGGTGATGAAAAGGAACCAGGGGAAGAGACTGAGAAGGAGCAGAAGGAAGGAGGAAAACCAGCTAGGTGTTGTGTGCAGGAAGCCAAATGGGAAAGAGAAAAGTATTTCAAAGAGGAGAAACTTTTCAGTGGAGACAGATGCTGCTGTTGGGTCAAGTAAATGAGAACTGAGAAATCACGATTAGTTGAGCAACACAGACGCCATGAGTTAGCTTATGAGGACATGCTGAGGTGGCACGGTGCGGGTGAAAACATCAACAAAGTGAGTTCAAAAGATAACAGAAAGAGGAACATTGAAGACTATAAGTATAATTAATTATTTCAAGACACTTACTGAAAAACATGCATGTAGAATATCTTTCTGCCACCGAAATAATTTTTTTCAAAGCTAACCATAAGTCTTACTTCTTCCTTGAAGACTTCCTAGACTATTCCAGCCTTTTCTGAAATCCTACAGTATTTACATATTATCATGCAATTTTTAGCACAGCAGGTACTTAACGCTTTACAGTTTTCTAAGAGTTATGAAACTTCAGATTAATTCTTAACAGTCCCACAGTTCCCAAACTGTGCACCATGTCAACTCCAGGGTGCCACAGGGAACTCACAGGGACTACGTGGGATATTTTTAATTTTTGAGGGAAACACGGTTATACTTGATATCTGTTGGAGACTACATGAACTATCACCTCAAGGTAATTCACAGTTTCAACAAGATATCACTCTTTCAGTGAGGTCAAACCTTTGTAAAGCTGGATTTTCTACAGTTGCTGTGATGAATAGCAAGTGCCATGTGGAATTGAAAGTGAAGGTGACAGCATCCTCAACAATCCTAAGGTTTGAGAGATTGTGCCATGCACCAGAAGGTGCATACCAGCAATTGTGGCTATTTAAGAGTGAAAACAAACAAAATGAAAACAAATATGTTTTCTTTTAATTTATGTGTATTATTTTCTTGAAATGGCCATTAAGTTGTCATGAAGTAAATAGTTAGAGAAAAATACTTAACAAAGAGAACTGTTGGGTATTTCTACTGGCCTAGGAATGCTATAAAAAACCATCACTCCAACACTGTGAGCGCAGTGAACGGGGAACGTGTGGGAACCTCGGAGTCAGCCACTGGTTGATTGACTAAGGATAAAAAAAATTTAACGAAAACTTTCTGACTGGATTTCTATCACTCATGACTACTTACTCTCACCTAGATAAGTGGTCTACCATCACTTGCTCTGCAACAGTCTGTTTCTTCCTCTCTGCAGCCACAATTTCCTAAGAAGAGAAAATTTTTTAAATGTCATTATCAATAAAACAGAACAACACTAGAGTTAACACGAGAACCCTAAAATATATGCTAAATTTCCAACTTCCTTCTTAAATAGAGATTACTATATCCATCATTAATAAAAACAAATTCCAATAATTTAATCTGAAAATAGCATTTATTTCCTAAAAAATAATGCACTTTAATTTCGGTAGAAATCATCAGAGATTTCCATGCGCTGCATCTGAATTTCATGGAGCCAGAATAAAGGAGGAGGAGACTATGATATCCCTCTCCTTGACAGATGCCCTGTAAAAAGCACTTTAACCTGCTCCAAGAAGAATACCAACATTGACACGAAAAGAGTTTGTTCTAAAACTATTTATAGTAGATGAAGCTAAAATTGAATTGGAATCCCTCAACCCTTTATCAAAAATTTAAAAATAAAAATCTTTCATAAAGCTTCCTGTCATTAAAAGGATAATATTTTCTATGCATAATATCCATTAATACTTGGTCAACTTTTCTCAATTACTGGTTTGATTAAATTATCTTCACACTGTTTTTTGCTTTTCAACTCATTTGAAAATACTTCTACTACATTTTAGGTTATATCACACCGAAAGATTAGTAATCGTTCAATTCCAATTAGATTATAATGTAACTATATTTACTAAAATGTTTCTTTTGAAGAGTAAATGAAAGAGGTTAAAAAACTAAGGGGTCAAAATAAAGCTTGTTTTATTTCTACACTGTAAATTCCTGTCATCTCCATTGATCACGCCAATAAATGAAATCAAGTACAATAATGTAGCTTATGATGGAGGCTTTGTAACCTTAGGGAGAGCACTCTATTCAAAATGGACACAAACTCCAAGTAAGAATGACTAAAGGCATATCATACATAGAAACTCCTAAGAAACCTAGAAATTTGGGTACAATTATTTAAATGTTAGTCTATAACTGAATTTGGCCTTTTTGGGGGGGTTGGTAGAAATTAAGATACAGTTTACACATCCAAATATGCCCCATATAAATACAGTTCACGTCATTTAACATATAACTGCATCTGATGTTCTCTAAGCTCATGACACTTTATAATGATTTTTGTTTAATAATAAATTTAAAACAGCAATTAAAAAGTTAGAAAACATATGGTAACTTACAGTCACAGCAAAGTGTGTTTTATGTCTAAGGGTGATGAAAGTGAACACTAAGTAAAATATGAAATTATATGCAGAAAAGGTCAGCCAGAACATAGGTGCAAAACCCAGAAGCGAGCAGAAGAGGGGAGATTAATGAACAGAGCCCATGCAGAAAGCCCATCTTGTGTGTTGGCATTTATGGTGGCTTTACTGTAGGAAAGGTTAGAACCGCCCTCAGGCACATTGATTTTAAGGTCTGTGTAAACATAAAGCAGAAGCAGAAGCAGAAGTCACACAGATGCAAAGGATCTAATAATGTTGAAAAATGACAAGCAAACTAAAAGAGATGGGTATAAAAACCACAGGTTCACTGCTTCTGGTGTTCAATTAAGTAGTTAAAAATTAAATTAAAAAGTTTCCACCTAGATTTTAAACATAAGTCAGTACTAATTTCAAATGCATTCAAAGTTTAATCACGCAAACATGTCCTTGGGGAAAAAACAGATAAATATGTGCTACCACAATAAAGTAAAATACTTGATGCTGAATTTAGTGCATTAAAGTGATCTTAAGTAAAAGAAATCCGCTAACACCCAGATGGCTTTGGATGACACCAAGAACAATACCCAATGGGCCTTACGTATCAGTAACATCCATTTCAAGTAGAACTTGAGGAACATATCAAAATCAGCCTTATTTGGAAGACTATTTTGCCTTATAAAGTAGCTTTTTAAATTTTAGGATAATCCTGGTAATAGTTCTTATTCTCTTAAACATAAATGTCTAAATAGTAATAGGCATAGAAAATAATGTTTATGTTGTTTTAGGACAAGAACTACAACAAATTAGCAACTTGAGACATCCACAGAAAATCAGTCCAAGATCCAGACACTGATTACACATTGCTGTCAACTGAGAACATATTAATTATGGGTGATTGTAATCCAAATAAAATATATAGTGACTTTCCTCTGTGATAATGATAATATAACCATCTAAAACCATAATGCTTTATTATTATTTAGGCTACCTAAACCAGAGTTTTCCCAGCTTTTGAAGCACCACACACTGGTATTTCATCAATCCATTACAAAGATGTCTAAGATCTTAATCACCTGGGGGGGTCTGGGGTGACCAGTGGACTCCAACTTGAAGCAGCTTGGTCTGATTACCCCAGGACACTATAGAAATGTAATTATCTATTTGTACCAGATCTGGCCTAAGTGATACTCATCCAACAATCTAACTGATTTTGTAAAAGACACAATTTGAAGTTAATACTGAGAATTTAGAGTTTCGCTTCCCTTTTCCTAAAAAAAAAAAAAAATACTTTATTCTTGCCCTTTTCCTTAACTCGCTGGAATTTCTCTAGTCTTATTAGCTTATCACTTTCAAAAAATAACTAGGTTACTTTGGGGATAGGGCTGATGCTAAATAATCCCATTGACAAAAATAGCAACCAATTAACATTTTCAATAGTATAAACTAAATTTTCATAAACTCTCAAAGATTCAAGACTATTTCTCCACAGTAAATATACCAAACCTCAACCATTTGTAAAAATGTGGATTCAATTTACACATTAGTGAACATGCACTGCTGAACAAATTCAATTGTTGTAATTATTTATTCAATTTTAAGTCTGCAACATCTTGGACAGCAAATTATCTTAATGGCTTAAGAAGTAAGTAAAGATCATGATAACTTACAGCATCAGATTTTCTCATACTCCTTTGTGCATTGTAAGGGATGTCTGCATAACCCTGCTGTAAGAGGGCTTTCCTATCCAGAGTGGTAAGACCATCCACGATGGCTTCTTCACCTTTTACACACTGTAAGGGAAAGCAATAAATGAATTCTTGAGAGTTTATACTTAGTTCACATACTTAGCATATTTGTTTTTAACAAAATAATGTGTTAAATAACCTCTGAACACATCAATAGTTATTTATGTACAACTATGTATACATAACAATACATAACACATAACAATAGTTTTTTGTGTATAACGTTACAGGCTCTGATAATCAGATTGCCCTATTTGAATGCAGTTCTTCCACCTTCTAGCTAGATGACCTCTCTGTGCCTCAATTTACCCATGGTAATGGGAATTAAAAGGGGAATTAATAATAGTAACAGTAACTACTTCACACACACACAAAGATGAAATGTCCAACACTTATAAAAGTATCTGACATACAATAAGCATCAGATAAAAGGTAGCAACTATTATACTATTATTGCCCACCTGAGTCTTTGTAAAGTTAATAAAAATGGGTATGTTCACTCCTCTGTAAAATGAAATTCCTAAGTACTAAGAGATGGGATATATCCTTTGAGATAAAGGATCCTCTGGGATCCTAAAGATAAACACTAAATTTTTCTCTGAATATAAGGTGTACACATATTCTTTTAACAACAACAACAAAAATGTCCCAGTAGGATAGCAACTGCCAAAAACTTAATAGATTACAAGAGTTTTTCCTCCAGGGTTTTTTCTTACTTTAGACCTTTCTTAAAAGGTCACATTCCATATTCATACTCTATTCTGTCTTCGTGACCTTTGATTGCTACATGAAATCTTATTATACATTTCTTTATGAATGTTGTCTGCCTCTCCTGCTATAAGTTCCATGAGGGAGGGAACCTTGTCTGTCATTTTTATTTCAATATTCCTGATGCCAGAACAGGACCACACACAGTGAGCACTCGATAAATACTTATTCGCAAATGAATAATGCATCTTGTATAAGTATTAACTATTATGGGGTGCCTGGGTGGCTCGGTTGGTTAAGCGTCTGCCTTCAGCTGGGGTCATGATCCCAGGGTCCTGGGATCGAGTCCCGGGTCGGGCTCCCTGCTCAGTGGGGAGCCTGCTTCTCCCTCTCCCGCTCACCCTGCTTACGCTCTCTCTGTCAAATAAATAAATAAAACCTTTAAAAAAAAAAGTATTAACTATTGGGAAATCAATTTATGAGGATACTTTATAATTTTTTTACCTCCTAATATATTTTTTTCCTGCATAGTTATTTATTTTAACAGGCACCAAAAAGATGTTTAGCATTAAATAAGGTAAATTAAACAGCTCAGGCCAAAAACCTTACAGTCCTCCTTCATCATCCCTTTCTCCTAAGCCTACAACCAATCCATCAGCAAATATTCTCAGCAAATATTCTCAAATATTCAAAATCTATCCAGAATCTGGCTTCTCATCACAACCACTTCTTATCCAAGTCTGCTGCCTGGGTCCAAGCCATCATCCTCATCTCTCATATAGATTATTGTGACAGCCTCCTCAAACATCTTTCTGCTTCCAACTTGGTCCTATTCTCAGTAAAACCCATCCTCAACATAGCAAAGTAGCTTTCTGCCTCAAGTAAACGGCAAGGTCCTTATGTAGTCCACAAGGCCTCACAGATCTGCCTACCAGCCCCCCCTTTAACTCTCTCCCCATCTCTTCCTTGCTCTTCCTCCATTGACCACACTGTTTTCCTTGATATTTCTTAAACACTCCATGCCCCCTCCCACTTCATGACACTGAGTGGCTTGTGCATCACCCTTTTCAGATGTGTGTTGAAATGCTACCTTATGGGAAAGATCTTTCTGGTGATCTGTACAAATTGCAATCCTAACTTGAGCCCTGCTCTTCCCAGTGCCCTTCCATCCATAGCATTTATCACCAACTGTCAGACTATATGGGTTGATTGATTCATTCATTTTTTTTCTTGCTAAGTCCTTCCTTTATGATATATACTCTGTAAGGGCAAAAGTATTTGTCTGTTTTATTCACTGACTTAGAATTTTTTATAAAATTGAAGTTTCATGACTTTCATGCTTTATTTAAAGATGTTTCACTATTTAAAATATAAGTTTACATCTTAGGTAACAATTTGACAACAAGAGATTCATCAGCTTTTTATACTAAATGGAAGAAAAACTCAACAAAGGAAATTTGCCATTAGACAAGCGAGGGGAACTTTTATTTTACTGTTTGATTGATTATGGTGGTTATGGCCTTTAGTTATTGTCCTAGATCCTAAATATGTCCAACTTTAGCTTTTTAATTAGTAAAAAGAATCAATTTACATGTTGTTCCCTGCTTTATAGAGGGGCTTACATTTCTGATATCAGGAAGCAATTCTATTTCCAGAGATTAGTATTCCAGTGTTAATTAATGTAATTATAATAGGATTTACTTATAGCCCATTTATACAGCAGTTTTGATTTTCATAATGGTATATATCTAAAAAGACATCAAAAAAGTTGCTTGACCCCATTAAGTATAAAATTATTATGTAGAGAAACCAGGGCCTTTTTGTAAGGCTATCAAGAACATATGAAATAATAATTATATACATTTATATGTAGATTTTAAAAATCAAAGCAAAACAGAATTTTTTCCAGAAGAAAACATGAATATGCTGGCTTCTATAAAACCCTTCATTCATACTATACAAGCATTTACCAATCATATGGGAAGCTTCACAAGCAATATTTGTTCCTCCCTTAATCAAAAATAAACAAATGCCTTCATTTGAACCTATGTTCAAGGAAACCAGTTTTACTTTAAAAAAATTTTAGGGGCCCTGGGGTGACTCAGTCAGTTAAGCATCCAGCTCTTGATTTCCAGCCCAGTCATGATCTCAGGGTTGTGAGATCAAGCCTCTCATCTTGCTCTGCACTGAATGTGGAGCCTACTTCGGATTTTCCCTCTGCCTCTACCTCTGCCCACCCCCCACCCCCAGGCCTCCGCATATGTGTGTGTGTGTGTGTGTGTGTGTGCGCGCGCGCGCGCACGCTCTCTCTTAAAAAAAAACAAAACTTTAAACCACTTTGCTGCAGCAAATAAAGCATGAACTTATAGAAATCTTCATTCTATTTTCCCAACATTATTACAGTGACCTAAATATCACATTATAGATCCTACAACTATATGGCCAGGTGCTAAAGGGCTATGAAATTATCCTGCCTATTATTACAGACATCAGATTATTATATTTGTGTGCATCTGTTTGGATCTGGAAATCTGTCTTAGTATAAAAGAGACCAAATAATCCGTTAATTTTGTTACTCTTTCCACTGAACACCATGTGATAAAGTCAGTTCAAGATAGTTCCTACATGGATTAGATAAAATAGCTGATATGCTATACCTACTTATAAATTAATCAATTCTTTTTACCTATAAAAATGTTAAGCAAATACAACCAGCAAACTTCCCTGAAAATACATTATTCTTATAAAAAATTCACTGAATTAGGGCGCCTGGGTGGCTCAGTTGGTTAAGCGACTGCCTTCGGCTCAGGTCATGATCCTGGAGTCCCGGGATCGAGTCCCGCACCGGGCTCCCTGCTCAGCAGGGGGTCTGCTTCTCCCTCTGCCCTCTTCCCTCTCGTGCTCTCTGTCTCTCATTCTCTCTCTCTCAAATAAATAAATAAAATCTTTAAAAAAAATTCACTGAATTAAGAATTATATTTAAGTATTCTCTCCTTCGTGGCCAGTAGTATCATAAACTATGTTTCCAAACCTTTCTTTCCACAATTCAAGGTTGACCTTTCCTATACGCTTATGAAAAGCCATTAAATTGATTATGGTTAGTTTGCTCTTATATTCATGAATGATGAATTTACACCTAATTAACATTAAATAAAAGTATAAACTTAGAAATTCATGATGTTAAAAAATATCTCCCAACAAGAACCAGAAGACAATCATGGAGTGATGACAGTTTTGGAATAAAATAGGGTTACTGCAACATCTGAAATCACTTTTCAACTTTAAAATTTAGACTGTGAGGCAAACAGAGTTCAAGATAGCTACATCAAAAACAGCTTTTTAATACTGCCTTATTTTCAAATCCCAAGTCAAATGGAAAACTCCTTACACAGAAAAGATGACTAGGTCATATGGCTAGAGTTTTCACATTTGAAAATGATAATAATAAACTTTTAGAGTTGTTGTTAAGAATAAACTAGCTAATGCAGGCAGAATACTTAAAATAGTCCCTAGCACACAGAAATAAATGCTAGCTACTATACTTACTATGACTAACAGCAAAACATACCAGACAAAAAGATTTCCATAGTACATGTAATTTTTTTAAATTTCATCAGAACTTTATAAAGTCTTATACATTACCTTGTCATCTATCTTGTTTCTTGGACACTGTTGTGTGATCTTTGATTTTGTCTTTTCTGCATTTCTCTGACTATACTGTTCATATCCCTCTTTCATTTCAGTTTTATATTGCTGATATTTTAGTTTATATTTGCTTGTTGGTGCTGGCAAGTTTTCAGGAATTATGTCTTGCTCCTAGATATAAAAATAAGAAGTATGTTATCTGTCAGAAAAATCAAAATAATTATTAATTTTCCTTATTAACATTAATAGGTTTATCATTTATCTTAACATTTATGCCTAAGAAACAGATCATTATGATCTATGTGCTAAACAGAGGTGATATTTATTTATTATTATTTTTTAAATTTATTTGACAGAGAGAGAGAATATAAGCAGGGGGAGCAGCAGGGTGAGAGGGAGAAGCAGGTTCCCACTGAGCAGGGAAATATCTGTACCTTCCATTCAAACTTGCTATGAACCTAAAACTGTTCTAAAAAATAGTCTATTAAAAAAAAAAGACAGGATACAAAGATATGTAGCTTTAAACAAAAAAAAAAAAAGATTTTATTTTTTTATTTGAGAGAGAGAGAGAGCATGCGCACAAGTGGTGGGGGAGGGGCAGAGGGAGAAGGAGAAGCAGACTCCCTGCTCAGCAGGAAGCACTACGCAAGGCTCAATCCCAGGACCCCAGGATCATGACCTGAGTTGAAGGCAGACGCTTAACCGACTGAGCCACCCAGGCGCCCCCAGAGGTGATATTTAAAACGTTCAGCTGGTATAGCATCACTGAGCAATCAAAGCAGATGTAATGGCTCAGAACGGGCAGCAGCCTTAAGTACCAGGGAGCCTGTACCTGGTTTCCCTGCTGAAGATCAGTCCTGGTTCTAAAATAATTTGAGAAGACAAAAATTAAATTTTCTTTCTTCTTAAGAGTTTTAGATAGGCCTTGGGCACCTGGGTAGCTCAGTTGGTTAAGCGACTGCCTTCGGCTCAGGTCATGATCCTGGAGTCCCAGGATCGAGTCCCGCATCGGGCTCCCTGCTCGGCAGGGAGTCTGCTTCTCCCTCTGACCCTCCCCCCTCTCATGCTCTCTCTCTCTCATTCTCTCTGTCTCAAATAAATAAATAAAATCTTTAAAAAAAAAAAGAGTTTTAGATAGGCCCTTTATTCCTGCCCCAGAAAAAACTCTACTGACAAGCATTTCTTCCAGAATAGTTACAGGAATTAGAGATCACGAACACTAAGAAGCGCTGGTTGTCATTTGTAGAATTTCAGATATATCACCTTCTGGTATTATTTAGTTCCCTACCACATTCCCATGGGAGTAAGAGATAACAGAGCCAGTGGATAAGTAAAATCTAAAAGGAGTACTAAGCAAACACAATGGCATATATATTGGCCCAAAGGGGGATAGCCACTCCAAAAGGAGGATAAAGCCAGCACGACCCTTGAAAAGTGTTGATAATATCCAGGTCTAACCTAGAGAAGGATAAAACAAAGTTTCAGGGTGAAAATTGTAGCATGATACAGTCTAGGGTACTACTGGTGCAATTTATCCAAAATGAGACTGAGGAGAACGTGAATAGAACCAGCTAAGGGTGCCTGGGTGGTTCAGCTGGTTAAGCCTCTGACTCTTGATTTCCACGCAGGTCATGATCTCAGGATCTTGAGATCAAGCCCCGCGTCGGGCTCTGTGCTGGGCATGAAGCCTGCTTAGGAGTCTCTCTCTCCCTCTCCCTCTGCCCCTCCCCTGCCCCCCGCACACACACTCTCTCTCTTTAAAAAAAATAAATAAATAAAATATATTTATATTTATATTTATGTAACATATATATACAAGTTTAAAAAAATAGAACCAGCTACAGGAGAAAGACTAACAAAGACAGAAAAGTAAGCCCTCCTCATAGAATACTGGTCAGAACTTGTGTTCATAACACAAAATAAAACACTAAATATTGTTTGAAGTGTAAATATTGTCCCAAGGAGATAGCTTGGAATAAGAATAGTTACTTAGTTACTCCATAGCATACTAGTAGCCCAAAGTATAAGTTAATTTCCAAGAGACAAATCACATTGTTAAACCAGCAAGATCTGATCTAATACTCTACCATATTTTTTAAATTCCTGGATTTCCTATTAGGATAAACCTGTACTTCACTAATTGTATAAGACATTTTTTTTAAAAATATTTTATTTATTTATTCATGAGAGACAGAGGCAGAGGGAGAAGCAGGCTCCCCGCAGAGCAGGGAGCCCGATGTGGGACTCGATCCCAGGACCCTGGGATCATGACCTGAGCCGAAGGCAGACGCTTAACCAACTGAGCCACCCAGGCGTCCCTGTATAAGACGTTTTTAAAATACTATTCCTATGTGAAAAAAAATGTAAAACAAAGTAGAATTATTTCACCAACATGATTGGGATGTTAATATATACAATACTTAAACTGGACAAATCACAGACTGAACATAATAAAATTTCTGGACTAAATACAGTGCTTAAATGCACATTATAATTCTGAAAGTTGGTAATAAGAAATAAATACTAACCAGTTCATTTAGATGATGCTGAGTATGTGATATTTGACATGGTGTGATGCAACTAAGAGCAGAAGATGAATTTGGTGGGTTAAAATGAACATGGGCAGTAGTAAGTGGGATGTATGAAAAATCATCCTAAAATAAAATTACATAATACTTATGATACACTATATGCAATATTTTGTTCAAATGTTTATTATAGTAAATACCAAGTAAAAATTACCTCCTCGTCAGAGTCAATGAGGCTTCCCAAATCAAGTCGTGGAACCCTGAAAGAAATAATCTATGCAACTCATAACTTTTTAAAATGAGGCTTTAATAGTTGCAAATCATACATGCTACATCTTATATAAAAAGGTAGACTAGGGACTCCTGGGTGGCTCAGTCGGTTAAGCATCTGCCTTCGGCTCAGGTCATGATCCCAGGGTCCTGGGATCCAGTCCCACATCGTGCTCCTTGCTCAGCGGGGAGCCTGCTTCTCCCTCTCCCTTTGCCTGCTGCTCCCCATGCTTGTGCTCTCTCTCTCTGACAAATAAATAAATAAAATCTTAAAATAATTAATTAAATAAATAAATAAAAAGGTACACTAAAGCCAAAGGTGTGCTGTACCTACCAGCTGTAAAAGGAAATGCCCAGCAGTTTTTAAGCTGGTTGTTAACAAAGCATTATTAAAAATAAAATTATATAAACTTATAAATAAGTAAGTTATATTAAAAATAAAGGTAATAAATACTCAAAGTCATCACTTCTTAATGACTTTACTGTACTTCACTTTTGTTTATTTACATCTATGGCATTTGTGTGGTAATATAAGGGTGTGCATCTCTTTCCAACTCTGTGTTCAGTGGGATACTATAAACATAGGGTGAAATCGGCCACAGTGGGATCATTCACACAAAAACTGGCACATGCTATGAATTAGGACTTGATTTATTATTTTGTTGATTTCTTTTTTTTTTTTTAAGTTTTTTTTATTTATTTAACAGAGAGATTCAGTGAGAGAGGGAACACCAGCAGGGGGAGTGGGAGAGGGAGAAGCAGGCTTCCCGCCGAGCAGGGAGCCCGATGCAGGGCTCGATCCCAAGACCCCGGGATCATGACCTGAGCCGAAGGCAGACGCTTAACGACTGAGCCACCCAGGCGCCCCTATTTTGTTGGTTTCTGAGACTTAAAACAGGCATGGAGAAAACATTAATGGTGCAGATTAAACTTAAAAGTGTATCATATCTGTAACTGTCACATTGTGAATAACAAAAAACTGAGGAAATATTGTCCCAGTATCCAAAACTATTACGTAAGTCAACAAATACATCACTCACATCACTTTACAATAAATGAAAATATCAACCAACATTCACATTGGAACTACACTGGTTCATGGACTGCAACCATAGCTTGGCTACAGATACCAGAATTCAGCAAGAAACAAAGAAAGCATTCTGTGAGAATCAATTGGCTGCATGGAATTTATAAAAAAGTTTATACATTTTATTAGTATTTGTAAATTGCTTACTATATATCCTCTATCAGTAAAATTTATAACCAACTTAAAATATACTTAAGTTTATTTATAATTAACAAGTAAAATTTAAAATAAACTTATAATACACTTTCAGGAAACCAGCTGTTAAATATTTACCAGCACATGATTGACTGTCAACACATACTGAGTATCTTGTATCAAGTGCTTGCATGTACCTCGTACCCTGATTTTTTGTCTAGATGAGCATACAGGTATCTGTTATGTAGAACCACATGAAATTGCTGATACTTGCCCATTTTTCATCGATAAAAATGTAATTTCATATGGTTCAGCCTAATAAAGTACTAGGTTTTTAACTTCTATTTTCCAGTAAGCCCTGTAGTCTAAAATACTTGAAAGAATATAAAAGTCATATCCTTCCAAATCTTAAAAGGCAAAAATGTAAAATATAAAACATAAATTAATGTAGTCTAGTCCACAAATAAAATCATTTAAAGAAGATTGATAAAATTGTCATATTCATCAAGATAAGATTAAAGCCACAGATTAAAGTCATTTTGGCTATCCCAGTTATAAAATTCAAAATTTCACATATTTCTTTAATAAATTCATTTAGCTGAGTTTTCTAAATAAAACAATAAACTTTTTCAGGAAAATGTAAGAATATTAAAGAAAATACAAACAAGAGAAGTATTACCCTCCTTCCTATTATCCTACTTTAATTTTGGCATAGCAATTTTCAGGCCATCCACATGCACATCAAATTTCCTGTGGTTCACAATCATAACTACATATAAAATTTTGCTTTCCTTTTTAATTAATATATTATAAATATTTACCCATTAAATAGCTCAAGTGTAAAGAAATGTGACTTACACAGGTAGGCCAGCATTCTGGATTGCCCATGACCTGGAAGTCTGTCCTTGCTTTAATTAAAAAAAGAAAAAATCAGTATGTATATACCCTTTATGTATACTTTAAAAGATAAGCAATGAGGGCGCCTGGGTGGCTCAGTTGGTTAAGCGACTGCCTTCGGCTCAGGTCATGATCCTGGAGTCCCTGGATCGAGTCCCGCATCGGGCT